TATATATATATATATATATATATATATATATATATATATATATATATATATATATATATATATATATATATATATATATATATATATATATATATATATATATATATATATATATATATATATATATATATATATATATATATATATTACCTCAACTAGAGAGGTACAAGCTAAATTCATCATTAAAATGTCATTAAATAATAATGACTCTCAATTAAATAATAATGACACACTTTTAATAAGACATTTTAACAAGAAATAAAGTTTCTTAAACTAAAAATGTAATCAGGAAAAAAAATTATATTGACCATTATAATGCCGCAATTATGACAATTATGTTTATGACAGATTTATGACGAGTTATGTTGTCTTGGTAATTTCAAGTTGTCATGACAAAGATGAAGACTAGTTGTGATGTATGTGTTTATGTCAAGTTGTCCCAACAAACAATGTCATAGTTGCATTTAAAATGACATAACTGAGCAAATGACACTTAATAACAGTTGTCATAAGCATGCATTAAATCTCATTCACATTCGAGTCATATCATGATTATAAAGGTTATATGACCGTCTTATAAACACCCCTTGAAGTTAAATCAAGGGTGTCTTGAAGGGCCGGTGTCCTGCTGAGTTAACTCCAACTTGCGTCAACACACCTGTCTAGAAGATTCTAGGACAGAGGTGGGCAAACTACGGCCCACGGGCCATATGCGGCCAACTGAACTTTGGTTCAGAATTAGTAAATTAATTATGCAATTACATGTGAACACCATATGATGGCAGTATTGCATGCGGTACAGTTAGCGCAACCAGTAGACTCAGAACACACTCTCGGATATTAAAATGCACTCGACCGTTAATGACGGAAAAAATGTGTCAGGCTGATCACACCTAATGCGCTTTATGCATTTAGAGGTGCGTCTTTTGAATGGTTCACTAACGTCCGCGAGGGTTTTGAGCGCTGCTTATGCGTCTTGCGCACCTATCGTTTTAACCGCATGCGGCACCTCGCGTTTTTGCCATAGCAGACTCTAGACTTTGACACCCCTGCAAAGAGAGGGGACCAGGCTCATTGTTCACATTAACACACTCATAATAACATGACTTGGAATAACAAAGACTAAGATTCTTCTTCCGTTTTATCTCATAGTTTTATGATTGATATGAGCTTATTTATAAAAGCTCAAATGAGATTGTTGTACATTTGACTTAAATTATACAATAATTGCTGGTTAAATGTGTTAATTTTTTTCATAGAATATATTTTCCATGCATACATCCACTTTAAAAAGTAATTTGATCAAAGATGTGTGGTTTCATCAAGTTTTATGATGATTGACCTGTATATTCTAAAAGCTTTGCTTATTAGGTTGTTGTAAATTTGACTGAATAGTGACTATGTGTAACCACGAGGGGTGCCACACACAACTGAGGTAAGATCCAAATGCAGGTTTAATCGTAGTCAGGCAAGCAATGGTCAATACGGGTGCAAACGGGTATGTACAGGCAGTCCAGAATCGTAGTCAGTAAACAGGCAAGAGGTCAGAAGGTAGGTGGCAAACAAGGGTGCAAGGATAATCTAGGCTAAGGTAAAAACACGGGAAAACAAGACAAGGAAAACGCGTTATAAAGTCATCAACAGAAAAACAAGACTTGGCAAACTGAAAGGGTAAGTGTGTGGCTTAAATGGTGAATGCAATGAGTCTCTGACAATCCTCAGGTGGTACGAATGTAATCAGTCTAGATGAGTAAGCATGTGTGAGTGTGACTGGAGTGCTTGTATGAATATGTAGTCCATCAAAGGCGGAAGTGTAGTCCATATTTGTTGTGAGAGAGATCCAGTGATCAATGGAGTACGATCGCTGGTTATTGTGACACTTTGTTAATATAAGATTTTTTTCTATCAGACAATATTATTTCTATTCTCCACTATAACAATTATTACATTATTATTATTATTATTATTATTATTATTATTATTATTATTATTATTATTATTATATTTATAAGGGATTATTTTATAATTTTATGATGATTATGTAAATATAAATAGCAGTGCAAATTAATTTCACTTGTAAATTTGACTTAATAATATTAAAAAAAAATCTGTTTTGTGTTAATGTGACATGTTTCTGTCCGATATTTCATCTTCCATGCATACTGCCACTATAAATAAAAGTTATTTTTTAAAGAATTTGACATGTGGCCCTTCACTTGGTTTGCAAAACCTGATGTGGCCCTCGGGTCTAAAAATTTGCCCACCACTGTTCTAGGATATCTAGTAAGAGCTTGATTGGCTAGTTCAGGTGTGTTTGATTAGGGTTGGAGCTAAACTCTCCAGTACACTCACCCTTCAGGAGCAAGTTTAGACACCCCTCGGTTAAGCGGCACCATATTTCTGACTATTGCCAAAAAATATTCCCATACAACATATGATTTGTAGCCCAGGGTCACAAATGTGTTTAAAAGAAAATAACACTAGATTTCTATTTGTTTCTTAGAGACTGTGCTGCAAAATGACTGACACCTTCTGTAAACAGCAGGATATTTGTAATCCTACGCTCGTCGTTTTTAAGATCATAGACGCACAGTTGCTTAGACTCTCGATAACACCCACAGAAAATAGCTGTATGTATTTTAATTAATGCGGGATACTCACTGTCTGCGTGGATTGGCACCGCCAGGCAGAGCAGCAGCAGTAGGGACGTGGCACCGTGGCGAGCGGAGCCCTGTCGGGTTTGTGGCACCATGATTTGAAGATGGCACTCACCGCAGGGGTTCCCGAAACTCCTGCTGGATGACTACACACTCACGCTACCATTTAGTGAGACCTGTCGGAAACACAAAGAAAAGTGATATCAAACACTGCCCGTGAAAGCAATTCAAATCCTCAAAGCGTGACATCACCGCATTCCAAAACATGACCTCATTATTAGCATGCCAAGATTGCGTCACACTCCGCATGATCATTCCACTAATTAGAGAATGACACCAGAAAGCGTCATGGCAGTGTATGCAATCTTTAAATCTTCAAACATTACATCATCACAGTACATTGCATCATTATTAGAACTCTAAGAGCAAAAGTATTTCATTTGAAGTCAAAAATATAATTATTTACCAAAAATCTTGAGACACAGAAGAAGAAATATGTCGATTGAAAAATTAATATTTGAGAGTTCAGTATGAGCAATGACACTAGGGCTGGGTGATATGGCTTATAACTTGATTACTTTTTCCCCACACAACTTAAAAATTGCACGCACTGTAAAAAAAAAATCCTGCTTACCTTAAATTTTTAAGCTGAATCAAATTAACCTCATGAGTAGGGCCAGACGGGATCTGAGGACATTTTTTGCTATTTCTGCGGAGAATTTTGGTAAAAATCTGCGGATTTCTGCGGAACTATTTTGGGAGTATGCAGCGAGTATCATAACTAAAACCTTAATATATGAAATAAAAAGTAATAAATTACTGAATAAAAACTGAATAAATTCAGATTTAAACATTTACTCAAGTAAATAAACAGAATTATTGATGTTCTAAAAATCGGCCGAAATCTGCGGAAAATCTGCGGAATTCTGCGCACGCAGATTCCGTGTGGGCCTACTTATGAGTCCATTGAACCAATATTAAGTTAAACTTACTTAAAACCGCTTGCATAACTTATAAAATTAAGTTAGAACATGATTAACTTAGTTTAATGAGTAACAATGACCTAAAAACATATGCTCTCAGGACTAACTGATCATATAATTTTTTACGGTGGAGTTGACGATATTAACTTATATCTTCATTATAACTTATATCTTAATTATATAACTATAGGATATAAACAATTCTGTCATTCAAAGATCAAATTGATTTATTTAAAATTGTATATTCTACTTTAATATTTAATTCTAATGACGATGATGATGATAATAATAATAATAATAATAATAATAATATCAATTGAACCATTTTATTAAATTATAGTCAAAGTAAATGCATAATGACTGTTAAAAAGGGAACTTGTTGTAAAATGATGTATTTCCCTATAACTTTGCTCTGTTTATTTAAACATGAACATACATTCAGATGTTTAATCATTTTTATTTTGCCCTACACCAGTTAATAAAAATTACTCATGCTAGTGGGTTACATTTTTTCCCCCGCCATTAAGAGCCACCATTTCCCGAATAAATGCATGCATATGTGTATTTACATATACAGTTGAAGTCAGAATTATTAGCCCCCCTTTGAATTTTTATTTTTTTATTTTTTTTATTAGTTTCTGAATGATGTTTAACAGAACAAGGAATTTTTCACAGTATGTCTGATTTTTTTTATTCTTCTAGAAAAATTCTTATTTGTTTTAATTCGACTAAAATAAAAGCACTTTTTAATTTTTTTAAACACCATTTTGAACATTTTAAAACATTTTAAGGTCAAAATTATTAGCCCCTTTAAGCGAATTTTTTTCGATAGTCTACAGAACAAACCATCGTTATACAATAACTTGCTAAATTAGCCGTAACTGCCATATGGCTTTTAAAAAATTAAAAACAGCTTCTACTCCAGCCAAAATAAAACAAATAAGACTTTCTTCGGAAGAAAAAATATTATCAGATATACTGTGAAAATTTCCTTTCTCCGTTAAACATAATTTGGCAAATAATTAAAAAAGAAAAAAAACATTTGAAAAGCGGGTTAATAAATCTGACTTCAACAGTATATATATATATATATATATTTCAGTGTATGATGTCAAAACAAACATTTATTTGGCAATTAATTTTTATCCAGCACTATGACAGCATCAAAGACTGCCATACAGCATAGACTACTACACCAGCATGCAAACATACACTATACACCAAGTCATTGTCACAGTAGCCTGCAGAGCTATTCCTTTAACACTGACATCACACCCACAGTAAATGATGTCAGCGTGTTAATTTAATAAAGTGCGTTTAAACAGAAGTAAATGAGCTCCAGCCACAATGACTCCCATGAGAGCATTTCAGACACCTCTGGCCTTTGGATGACACACACACACACATGTCGTGCCAGGTTCAGCGTCCAGGGGGTTTGTGTATGCTAATAGCCTGCGTGCTAAGGGCTCTCGTGTGCCTTTCCAATGAAGCCACCTCATCTCACTCACAATTAAGATGATGCATTCATTTATTAACCAGAAGCGCTCATCATGTAATTGGCCGGACCCGGGCTAATTAATCATGCTCACACAAAAGCAGACATCTGCTATCCAGCACACCCCCTCTGCCACAGAGAAAATAATCATGGAAAACGGCACCGAGAGAGAGACGCCCATAGACCAGCACTAATTACACCAACACCACAGCAGGAAAGTTTGGGGCCGCTGGCGCTCGGAAAACAGCTTCAACTAGGGCTGCATGATATTTATGCCATATTTAGTTTTTCTTTAGTAAAATACATCATTTGACTAAATTTATACGACAGATTTATGATAAGTTTTGTTGTCTTGGTAATGTCAAGTTGTAATGACAAAGACAAACACAGGTTTTGATGTAGGACTGCACAATATATCGTTTCGGCATCGATATCACAATGTGCGAACCTCCAATAGTCTCATCGCAGGATTTCAAGCAATTTCAAGTAAATTTAAACCATTTGGGCACAAGAAATTAAACAGTTTCATGGTGGCACTTTAACAAAGATTAAATGTGTTTAAATATTTATACAATTAAGACTATTATGGTGGTATTTATATTTGAGTATTATTAAATTTAAAATTATTGAGACCTTTTTCTGAGAACTTTTCTAAGAATTGAACTAAGGGTTAAGAAGTTATGAGAAAATTTGCCATGTTATATCAGACCACTAGGGGGCGGTGCGGCAAAAAAATGCCGGTAACCTTAGACGATGGTTGTGAATATGTCAATGCGTTACGGAGATATTGCCTCGTCTATTTTCACAACTTGCATGTTAAATTTGTTTGCAAGTTAATCAAAATGGTTCATCTTATCAACTTGAATTCCATATCTTTTTGTCAGTATGGTTTGTAAATCATGGGTTTTGCAAAAAAAATTTTACGACAGAAAATTAGGATTAATTAAGACGGTGACATTTACGTTTCAGTATAATTGAATATAAAATTATTGAGAGTATTTATGAGAATTTTTTAATGAGACTTGAACAATGGGTTGAGAATTTATGAGCAAAAAAATAGTCATTTCGTATATATCCGAACCACTAGGTGTGGTTTATTATCTTTATTAAGTTTAATATAAATATGTTAATGCATTACAAAGAAATTTCCTCAAGTAAAATTTCGTATCTTCTACGTTAAATCAGTTCGAAATCAGTTTTTTTTTTCTTCTGGAAAAGTCTTATTTGTTTTCATTCGACTTTTTTGATAGTCTACAGAACAAACCATCGTTTTACAATAACTTGCCTAATTACCCTAACCTGCTATATGGCTTTTAAAAAATTAAAAACTGCTTCTATTCCAGCCAAAATAAAACAAATAAGACTTTCTTTGGAAGAAAAAATATTATCAGATATACTGTGAAAATTTCCTTTCTCCGTTAAACATCATTCGGCAAATAATTAAAAAAGAAAAAACATTTGAAAAGCGGGTTAATAAATCTGACTTCAACTGTATATATATTTCAGTGTATTATGTCAAAACAATCATTTATTTGGCATTTATTTTTTACCCAACATTATGACAGCATCAAAGACTGATTAATTAAGACGGTGGTATTTACGTTTCAGTATAATTGAATATAAAATTATTGAGAGTATTTATGAGAATTTTTTTAATGAGACTTGAACAATGGGTTGAGAATTTATGAGCAAAAAAAAGTCATTTCGTATATATCCGAACCACTAGGGTTGGTTTATTATGTTAAGTAAGTTTAGTATAAATATGTTAATGCATTACGAAGATATTTCCTCAAGTACAATTTCGCATCTTCTACGTTAAATTAGTTAGAAATGTAATCAAAAATGGTTGGTCTAATCAACTTTAATTCAAAAACTTTTGGTCAGCATGGTCTGTAGATCATGGGATTTAATTTTGGTGAAAATCGGACAAACGGACTAGAACAAGAACGTTAAAATAGGTTTTGCAAAAAAATCTAAATGTCGAAAAAACTTACGATGGAAAATTAAGACTATTATAGTGGTATTTACGTTTGAGTATAATTGAATATAAAACTATTGAGAGTATTCAAGAATTGAACAAATGGTTGAGAAGTTATAAGCAAAAAAATAAATAAATAAAAGTACTTTGTTATATCTCTGGACCACTAGGGGGCAGTGCGAGAGATCTGCAGAGTGAACAGCAACATCAACAGTCTGAGGTATCAAGACATTTGTGCTGCTCATTACATTACAAACCACAGGAGGGACAATTCTCCAGCAGGATAGCGCTCCTTCTCATACTACAGCCTCCACATCAAAGCTCCTGAAAGCAAAGAAGGTCAAGCTGCTCCAGGATTGGCCAGCCCATTCACAAGACATGAACATTATCAAGCACAACTTGAAGATGAATCCAAAGAATCTTGATGAGCTCTGGGAGTCCTGCAGGAACGCTTTCTTTGCCATTCCAGATGACTTTATTAATAAGTAATCTGAGTCATGTCAGAGATGTATGGATGCAGTCCTCCAAGCTCACGATGGAGTCAGACACAATATTCATTCTGTCTCCACTGCAGCAGGACTTTATATTCTATACTGGACATTATTTCTGTTCAGTGACAAGACTCATGTCTAAGCAAAGTCAGATCTTACTGTCCTAATTAAATAACTAATAATCAAGCCATGATCAGAGTTTATTTTGGACGAATAAGCATAATCTAGA